TTCGTACCAGGTATGCAAGGATGGTGCAAGATAGAAAAATCTATCCATGTAATCCATCACACAAATAAAACAAAGGAAAAGAATCACGATTATATCAATCAATGCAGACAAGGTATTGGGCATATATTCCTAATCCACCCTAATTAAAAGTAGTTAATTGGTTTGATGCTCTTGTACCTATTTATAATAATGACAGTGATTGGTTTTCAGTCCCCATGATAACTGGGACCCCCTAAACCTAGTGGAGAAGGAATGACTTTCTAATTATCATGTAGACACTGATATTTTTCCCATATTCATTGTACATGAATCCTATTGTTTAAAAATGGAAGCTCAGGCATGCGTGTACAAAGTTTTGGGTAATGATTCCTCTTACTATTACATTTTCCAAGAGTATGGTTTTCATGGAAACACCAGTAACATAATTTCAGGTTATTCTGATGTTCCTCCATGTCATTTGCTTTATCTTTCATTGGAGAATAGATACATTGGAAACAATGTGCAGGAGAGCAAGGACGAGTTTATATTAATACTTCCTAAGGAAGCGTCATTGACTGGAGCCCTGCAGGTTCCGCTCGTCAGCATGGAACAACTAAGAACATAAAATGGCATAAAGAAGGCAATGGTTCTAAAATACCTACCAATGCTAGTAATACAATATCATGGCATGGAGGAGGAATGGTGGAACCGTATCCACATTTACAGCATTTTTCTTACCAAAAACATTTATGGAAAATAGGAACTGTATTGAAACATTTATCTATTGGGATTGGAAATTATTCATGTAGTCATGCTAACAATGTTACTAGCCTTCAATTTAAAAGAAATGAAATTAATTATGTTCAAGCTTGTGTTACATTAACCTTAAGTATTTTTGAAAGATCCAACTCAATGGGATCCTACAAATTTGACATTATGTTGTTCAAATGGCTCTTTACATACTTGTATCAATTCTTCTATTATTTTATAACCTAGTGAAACTATTTACATGTTAAGATCCCAAATTGGATTATGATTGCCAGTAAAATTAGAGAGAGAATGGCAATCATCTCCTGAAATTATGATTTTAAAACATAATAACCCAATTATTTAAAAGAGGAAAAAATTCATTGGAATTGTCATTACAGCAATACATGGAATTACCACCATTACTGCCACAGCTGGCGTGGCTTTACATCAAAGTATTTAAACTGTAGATTATGTGAAAACATGGCATCAAGAAAAGTTAGTCTTCTCAAAGACAAATAGATACAGTAATTAATACCCAATTAACAGATTTGGAACAATCAGTAGTACTGATGAGAGATTACATTACTTGTGTACAAAGACAAAATTATAATGTAACTGGAATACTACGTAGTTTTGCATTACTCCAGCAAAGTGGAATACTACGGAATGAAATTGGGATAAGGTTGGGAAACATATTATGAATCATAGTAATCTTACAGATGATATATTGAATTTACAAGTTCAGATTCATTCTACTTTTAATAAACAATTGGATGAATTTAAGAACATGGACATTCTACAAGAAATAAGTGAAAGAAGGGGAGCTCTGATGGCCTAGTGGCAAGAAGCTGCACTGCAATGCCAGAGGTGCAAGGTTCGAATCCACCAGATGCTCTGCTGGGGAAGGAGGGACAATCTCCTCCTGTACCAGTCAGATCCGATTTGACGGTACACATACACAAAAATAATAAAATAAACATTAAAAAAATTAAAAAGAAAAAGAAGTAAGTGAAGGAATATCTAATCTGAATCCTTTTGATCATGTAAAGATTTTTGGAAGTACTTCAGTAATCTTATTTTGTTTAATTGATTGGGGGATTTTTTGTTTATATAGAAAGGAGGGGAAGAACAAAAACAAGAATGATTCAAAGAAGAAAAGAAGGTATATCTGCCCTGAGGACAAAATAATAATAAAAACAAAAGGGAAATGTGGGAAACCAGATGTTAAAGCAAATGCTTAACCAGGAACAGAGTGAGGCACAAAACAAGCTGGAATTCCTCCCGTGACAGATCACCAGGAACAAGCTTATACTTGTAAATTACTTTGTTCCTGAGATAAGCAAAGAATGTCAGCAGAGAAAAACGTAGCTTCATTAGTAAAGAATTTTTTCCGTGATTTACTAATAGCCATTCTTAATAAAAGCTTTAGGCTCGGGGCTACAGTCTTTGAGCTGTTTGCCCCCTGCTTCAATTTCTCTTTCTTCTTATTCTTGGTATCCCCATCTCTTTTCTTCATCCCAGTGGACAAGAAATTTCATCTCCTTTGAAAGGATGTCTGAGAAAAGTTAACAAAACATACACTACACACTGAAAGCAGGACTTACATGTACTTACATGTCACAGGGACCATGTACTGACGACCTCATGTGACTACAGAACTAAGTGACCTCTAGTGGCCTTGTGGATAAGGAGTGACCCTGCCCACATAAAGATAGATACTGTGAATCCAACAGCAGATTCCCAGGAAAAAGTTGGGCGATCTCCTCCCTCGTGATTTTCTCTCTCTAACCCAGGTGGAGGGTGAGTTATGAGTCAGTTCTGATTCAAAAACTGATTGTGAGGAAACAAGAGCAGAATAGAATAAAGATTATTTCAGAATATAGGTGGCCTACATGGCCAAGGAAGACTGGGTAAGAAACAAAGGACCTTAACCAAAGTATGAAAGTCTTGGGAATAACATGGACAAGTGGCATTTGCAACATTCTAGAGATAATTCAGTAAGTAGCTTTCACAACCAATGCACAGGACAAAGTAGAAGGCATCTGTGGATGTTGGAGGACTCACCTACCCCATCTATGAATACTGTTATCTTTCAACCAGTGAAAGCACTGGGAAGAAAATGTTGAATCTGGCCCATTTCCTTGTTCCTCAATGGTACATAGCAACAACAACACAGCAACAGTAAAGTACTCTGGTGGCATAGTGTGTAACACATGGGGCTGCTAACTGAAAGGCTGGATATTCAAATCCACCAGCTGCTCAGAGGAAGACAGATTTACAGCCTTGGAAACCAGATCAAGGGTCTTTATAAGTTGCAAACTGACTTGATGGCAGTGAATATAACATGAGTAAAGTGGATGTCCACAATCTACACTCTTGGCACCAGCAGTCAGAAAATCAAAAGACAAATTAGGTAAATCTGCTGTCAGGGACTTTTTTGAAGTACTGAGAAGCAATAATGTCAGTCTAGAGACTAAGAGAAGCCTAATCTAGTCCATGGTCTTTGCAATTATTTGTTATGCATCAGAGAGCTGGACAATAATAAGGATGCAGAGAATAATTGATGCCTTTGACTTGTGGTGCTAGAGGAGAATCTTGAACATACCATGGACCGCCAAGAAAACAAACAGGTCTGTCTTGGAGAAAGTGAAACCAAGTTTCTCCTTGGAGGCTAGGATTTTGAAACTCTGTCTCACATACTTTGGGCACATGGCCAAGAGGGAGCAATCCTTGGAAAAGGACATCATGCTCGGAAAGGTGGAGAAACAGCACGGGAGAGAAAGACCCTGGATGATACAATAACTAGGACAATGGGGGTAAATGTTGTCGGAGTCAGTGAGACAGGGTAGGCGTCAGATCTGTTGTACAGAGGGTCACTATGAGTCACAGGCAACTCAACAACACATAACAACAACATCAACAATGTTGTTAAGTGTTGTCGAGTTGTGGACAACTCATAGGGAGACCTGAACACCTGTATAACTTCTATCATTTCTCCAAGTTCATAGAGTTTCAGGAGGCAAGCTATTTTGGAAGTGGATGCTATTCTTGCTTCCAAGCTTGTTTTAATCAGGGTGCTCCATCAAACACTGTCCACCAGGGGTAACCATTATCACATTTGACACATCAGTGTCACAGTGTTTAGCATAAGAGCAACCACGAGTTACCTCCGTACAGCAAATGGACAGACAAGTAGAAATTAAAGGCACACAGTTCAAATCCACCAGATGTTCTGCTGGAGGAAGGGCAATCGCCTCCTTTGCCAGTTAAATCCAATTTGATGGTATACAATAACAACAACAAAAAACCAACAAAGTAGATGAGGAGGAAGAGACATACTGTCAATGAAGTAGTTGTTGTTGATGTTTGATGCCATCGAGTCGTGGATGACTCATAGCGACCCTATGAATGAACAGCCTGAGCACTGTTCGTACATAGAGTTTCTGGAGGCAAGCCATTTCGGAAGCGGATGCCGCTCCTGCTTCCAGGCTTGATTTAGTCGGGAAGCTCCAGCCAACACTGTTCACCATGGGTACCCATTATCACGATTGGCACATCACTGTCACAATATTCAGCATCACTCCGGGGACAGAGAAAACCTGCACATCAAACACATTCCTGGAAAAGCAGTCGACTCCAAAAGCTTGCCACGATTTCTGCGCTCACACCACCATGCTCCTTCCTTCTGGCAAGGAGAACTTCCCAAGACCCTGGGAGGAGCCAGCCAAACCCAGGAACAACATGGCTGCTTCCTTCCCAGCTGCCTTTGGGCTTAAGGCCGCCTCCTGGTTCAAACCCTAGGCCCAGGCTGGCTAGCCTCACTCTGCGGACAGAGCAAACCTGCATGTCAAACACATTCCTGGAAAAGCAGTCAATGAGATAGACACGTGTAAAATCAAGCATTACTTTCTATATCAGGGTAAGGAGGAGTTTGAATTTCATTCTACATGTGTTGGGATGCCAATAAAGTGTTTCACAGTAGAGAATGCTATGTTTGGATTTATGTAACAGTTTGTTATGGCCACTGTGTGGTGAAAAGAATGCTGGGACATAAGATGGGAGCTACAGCAGCAGTTTAGGTGAGAGGATGGTGCTTCGACTAGGATGGTGAGGAGAGTGAGAGAACTAGAGGGCTCTATTTTAGAAGTGGAGCCAACAGAGTTTAATGATGAATTAATTCCATTTTATATGTTAACAAAATAACCAAAGGATGAGTCTCTTACCCATCTGAATCAATTTTATAATACAGCTTTAGAAATAGAAAATCTTACCTCTTTCATAAACTGTTCAAATTCTTCATCTAGCTCTTCTTTGGAATAGTGAGCCATAACTAATTTTCACTTCCCGAAGTAAACATTCCAAAGTATTCACAACATTGGAACACTAGATTGACAAGAAACATTTTTTGCAATAACCCATATCAGAGCATAAAAACAAACAGACTTAAGCTTTAGAAAGCTCTCTTATTATGACTTACTGCATTACCCACAGTTACGAGTTTTTGTCTGAGCTAGGAGGGAAGAGGACATGGCTTAACTTCCTTTAAACAAATCTTTAAAATTTTTGAAACAGACATTCAAATAACCCTTTTCTTGCAAAGCATAGACTGATTCTGTGTTACCTTACTTACTATTCAACCAGTTATTTTAACAATCCATAGTACTAGTTTTGCAAAACATACTGTTTCCAAATTGGATAATTTACTATGAAGATTCACAGTCCACCAAAGTTATTGTTGTTAAGTGCCCTTGAGTCAAATACAACTCATAGCGACACTCTGAATAATCGATCTGAACTCTTTCCTATTCTGCATCATCCTTATCATCCTTGACACATTCGAGTCCATGGCTGCAGACACGGTTATCAAAGTATCTCCAAGAGGGTCTTTCTTTCTCTCCTTCCCTGACCCTCTACCTTTCCAAGCATGATATCCTTTCCTAAGGAACAGCCTCTCCTAACAAAGTTAGTGGAGTTTATAAGTCAGTAGGAATTATTTCTTTTGGAGAGTGAGAAAGCAAATGAAAATAGTCACTAAACATATAAGTGCAATTCAGAGATTTGTAATGCCAAACATCTGAGGAACCTCTCCCTTCACTGGTGTTTCTGGTCAGTCCCCGAGGCGGGTCACTGTGCATACCCCGCCCTCCAGGACGCAGGGCTCCCGCTCAGAGATGCACGGGATCTGCAGCGGGCGGGAAGACAATGGCTTGCAGAGCAGTTGGGGAGGCGACAATATCTAAAACCCCGAGGACCTGCTACAAAACAGAATTTAAGTGTTGATCATCCTAGTGGAAAGCACGCGTCTACACTTACCTAGGTCTCTAGGTTGGACGCTTTTCCAGAAAGTGGCCAGAGGGGATCCCAGCAGTTGCTAGGGTACCAGTAGACGGCCGCTGGGTCCCCTAGTCACATGACCACCGCTGGTCACGTGGCGAGCGCCCTGCGGCCCCGTCTGGCCTTGCTCATGCCCCGCCCC